GTTGTGACACGTGCATGGGTGGCTAGGTGAGCTGATCAACGACCAATTGGTCTGTAACCGACAATAACCGGTTGCAAGCTTCATCGATAGCACGATACGTAATTCATACAGTCCCGACCCAAACATTTCGTTCACGAAACTGGTGCATGATTTGAATTTAGTGCGCCTAGGCATCCAAAATAGGCTGACTCGAGTGGTTGACTTACCCTGGATGTAACTATTAGTCAATCTCATGTTTTCCACGTGTCTTTCAAGTGCACCGCCTAGATAAAGATCAGTCTATACGGTCGACGAGTATTGCCGAAATAATTGCAGTCAAGGGCAGGGTTTGACTAATCGGTTTGCACATTTTATTGTTACTGTCCTTTTATTATGGCTATTATCGCTCGGCCACGATTCAGTTGTTTCCTCTGCGAATGGCCGCTGTGTCTGATTAGATGTCTCCTGGTACGCTGGCTAGTGTGTTCTGGGACCGACGCTGGCCGTTCGTTGACTGGCCGGACAGGGACCCACCATATGCTGCCTGAGAATCAGCCGTTCATGGACTGGCCGGAGAGGGACCCACCATATGCTGCCTGAGAATCATTCAACGATCATTCACGCACTCTACGTCCGTGTCGGAGAACGCTCAAGAGGGGACAGGCCATGACACTATAAACTACGGTTTATGTTGTCTGGGTAACCCATGACCATCAATCATCTGCCAGTACATGTCACAACATTAATACTGGCGACAGTTCAGTCACCGAAATACAACAATCGCACAACGGTTAGCTTATTGTCGCTACGCATTAGCCACCACCGACATATCCAGATAGTGGAATATACCGATAAGTGCCGTCGATGCTCCAGAAGGAAAAAGTCATTAGTTATACTGCCGTGAACCAGCTCTTGAGTAACCTTATGGAGCACGAATTCGCTGCTATCCGCTCTCTAGAGAATAGGAAAAGGCTACCAGACTGACTATCTCACTTGTTCCAAATACTTATCATCATCAAGGCCGAAACTCGCGTGCAATAAACCTTAGAAACACGTCCTTGAAAACAAGGATGAAACATGCGCTAACATCCTAAATACAAATGGGGTGCAATTTGGACAAGATGATTTCAAAACTACCGCTCACTCGGAACGCCAGGTTCTCTTAGTCCATCCAATTAGGACAGAAAGAAGATCTTTCTCTCACTATTCCCTTATATTATATAGTCTATGTAGCCTGCACATTAATTTAAAGTGATAAAAGTTCACTGCAGAACAGAAAACATTTCCATAAAATATAACCGAATATGTACTTAGCATATGTGGTAAAATTCTCGAATAACGAACTTTCTCATGGTAAACAAAACCAGAATGATGGGTGGTGGTGGGCATTAGCATATTCGAGATCAATCAACTTTAGATACAAAGGGATAAAGCATGATGAGGGATGTCTTACATTTTTTTATAACCAGTGCGGCTAGTGCATCTATGTGAGTTAACTAAAGGCGCCCAGAAACTCTTTATTAGCAGCCAGCCAGATCAACGCATAGAAAAAGAGCTAACGGGAGATAGACTTGCAATAAAATACATGGTTTCGTTGGCAAACGTGAGCAGTACATTGACTCAAAATCCTAAAATAGACGTGTTATTGCTTTCAGCCAAGGTGTGGTTGGATTGTCCAAGCTCTCGTTCTTAAACACTCATGTACACTCAGTGTATTCTGTATTCTCCTGTTTTCATGTATAGTACTCTCCTCACAAAAAGCATCTGCAGGGAGATATCTAAATGCCCAACAGATGTGTGTTCTGTCGCGAAGGCGGACGAATACGAACAACTAGCACGCTGCTTGCTACAACTGGTTAGCGAAAAGTCCGGTGTCCATAAACAGTACTAACGACAGTTAGCACGGTGGGATGAAATTAGCTACTACTACCGTTTAGTTTTAAAGAGCATCTTCAAAGACATAAGAAGTAAGTGCAGGCGATGAATGTGAAAGGGTTGAAGGAGAATATTAGGTAAAAAGAGAGAAGTTCCAGTCAGACAAGGTGAATCCCGACGTATGTGAGAATCTTCGGTACCGAAACAGACGTGCAAAGACCAACAGCCGAACAAAGGACAAACAAGGCTGAATGCTCTTCAAGGCGCGGTAAGCGCTACACATCAAGATTCGCACATCAGGTAAAAAGTGTCCGCCATACTTGGTCTGGTGTCAGATTCAATGGTAAAAATGTACACTCATCGCCATGTGTCACTACAAATACTGCGGCGCATGCTCAAAATCCAAGAGCTCTAAACGCGTAGAACGGAGACATGCTGGGGCACCAACAAGATATGTCCACATGCATTTCTTCTCAGTATGTCGTCCGGCCCGAGGAAAGAAATAATGCTGGTTAGCGGAACTCAAGTAGGAGGACTAACTAGGATAATGATATATATAAAGATATATTCTAACAGCATAACAAAACGGTAATTGTTGATGGTTGAATGGTAACTATCGAAAGCTCGACAAGTTCCGATTCATCACGTGTTGATTTATCTTGTTGCTTAGCTGCTCTAGTAGATCAGTTGTTAAAGAAAATTCAGCCTTGCGCAAAAGAGTTGGCGACATCCGGATAATGCAACGGAAACATTTGTTTTTGCGACAGACGATTTGTGGGTTCGGGCAGATGAAAGTGTCACTGTGATTTCCCTACCTGGGGATAAATTCAACATTTCCGAGATTAGAGAGTGCATCCCACAAGTTTAATAGGGAATTTGTTCGGGGGCCAGCCGTCCCTGATAACCGAACATCACATCATTTGGACGCGTGTCACGTGCAGGACACGGGCCAGACGTAGGCATGCATGCCTTGGTCAGAATGCCAGCCAATCCGAGTCAAGCACCTTGACTCGACGGTTCTCGCCCCCTCACGGACATTCTGGCACGACCTTGTGGAACACTCTGTGACTACCCTATATATAAACAGTTGTACTGATTTTCCTTTGTCTCCATAAAGGGCTGTGTACAGCTACCGTGCCTTTTGCTATACCATAGTGGGTGGAGCAGGAAGCCAAGGGACCGACACAGAGTTGCACTACCGTCCAGCAAGTTATAACAACTGGCGACAACCCGAACCCACGATGTCAATTTCGGCAGAGCAACTCCAATTAATTTTACAGCAACAACAGAAGCAGTTCGAAGAAGCACAACTGAGGCTTGTTGAATCTCTGATGCGCAGTATGTCGGTGAATGCGATAAAAAAGGGTGAGCCTCCGTCTTCTTCCGCAGATGCTGCTGCCAGCTCAATTACCGAATTCAATTTTGATGCTGAATCTGGACGAACTTTCGAAAGTTGGTTCAAGAAATATGAAGACATGTTTCAAACCGACTTTGCTCAGTTTGATGATGCGTGGAAAGTTCGTCTGTTGCTGCGGAAACTGGGGACAGCTGAACACGATCGGTTCACAAATTTCATTCTCCCCAAACTCCCTCGTGACCTTGGTTTCGCAGATGCTGTCAAAATTCTGGCCCAAATATTCGGTGAGCAAAGTTCCTTGTTCAATATTCGTTATCAGTGTCTCAAGATTACCAAAAGGGATACTGAGGATTTCATCACATATGCCGGTGTGGTCAACAGAGAATGCGAGCGCTTTCAGCTCAGCTCCATGACCGAGGATCAATTCAAGTGTCTCATCTTTGTGGCTGGTCTTCAATCACCACACGATGCAGATATTCGGACCCGGCTACTGAATCGAATTGAACAGGATCCAGAGTTGACGCTTCAGAAACTTACCACCGAATGCCAGCATCTTATCAATCTCAAGGCTGATGCTGCCATGATTGGACATTCCAAATTATCTCA